GAGGGGGAGAGGGGGAGAGGGGGAGAGGGAGAGGGAGAGGGAAAGAGAGAAGATCAGATTCTTATTTTATGCCTATGCATGCATATGCGCGCATCTGTCTATCTATTTGGGGGCCCAACTCAGGATGCTGCGTCTGGGTGAGCTGAAGGTGGAACAGCAGGTGCTTCAGGACGACTTGAAGGACGACTTGGGCAAGACAGACTCACATTAGGGGAGCAAGACCTATCTTCCAACTTTACCTTAGTTCACTTCTGAAAGAATGAATCATAATGAATCCAAGTGGGTTAAGCTCTTGGTTTGTCTTTGTTTGTAGGAGGCTTTTACTGCAGGTCCCTTTTAGCAGCGCACATTTTTCCAGAGGTCCCACCGGAGTGCCAGCACCTCGGTTGCCAGGACCAGACAGAAGCTCAAAAGGACGACCGGAATCTAAAGTGGACGCTATTTTGTAAGATTCACCCAGTTTCTAAATGAATATACTAGATGAAACATGTCGAAACTGGTTGCCATGGCCCTGTTCGATCAGCCGACCCTCCCAATTGCCATACTACTGGGGTGTTGGGGTTTCCTATGGCTATTTGAAACGCATGGGGGGATCAGCGTCCAGGAAAACAGCGAATTCGCCACAGCCTTGAAGAAGACCTGTGAAGAGAAGGAGAAGGCCTTGATTCGTCACATCACTGGTGGGATCGAATCTTCAAATGGTCATAATCAACAATTGTTTGCAACACGTGAGCTACACCACTAAATCATGCCAATTGGATCCAATTGGTTATTCTATCGTGTTCACAGTGTCTATATTATTGCTCATTTTATCCATGGTGGCTCGGATCTGCATGGTGAAAGCTTTGCGGAAGCCAGCGTGGAGAGGGTTCGAGTCATAATAGTGTCGCGGAAACCAGGGGCTTCGTGGAAGCCATGTGGAAGCGAAGAGCTAGGGGCAGCTCCGCGGAAGCCACACGGAAGCTCATGCGGAAGCATTGTGCTACGTCAGTGCAAAATTAAAAGGAATTAAAGACAGCATTCAATATGCACATATACAGCATATACACATGTGCATACACACAAGTAAATAAATGAATTAACAAAGGAATAAATACATGAACAAGTGAACCAATAATCACACACACATGTATATACATATATATATATGTGTGTGTGTGTAGAACATAACACGCCAAACCAAACAATACATAATATAATATGATACAATATAAGTTAAGATGGTTAATTTCAGATAGCATCATAGTATACAATCAAATTTAATATGAAGTAAAATAACTTAAAAAGACTAACATGATATTCAACCTATTTTGATTTCAATTAGTAAGATAAAATCATTTCATATAATATAACTTGGAATGAACTATATTATAGTACCAAATAGTAAAATATAGTATAGCGCAGGATAAAGTCAGGATAAAATAGCATAATGTAGCCTAACATGCAATATAAAGTAACATGTTAAAACTAAACAGAGCGTGAAATTTGATAAAAGGATACAATACAATACAAAGTAAAATAGCATAGTAGTAGGTAAACAAATTAACACAATAAAGCACAGTATGATTTAAGATAACTAAAAAAATAAGATAACTCAATATAAGTAGCTTAATTTTAGTATAATCTAAAATTGACAATACCACAATAAACTTGATATGATTTAAAATCACATAAAAGTAAGATTGTAAGTTGCAACACCTTTTAATATAACGTCGCATAATATGATATTCTGTGAAATGGTAAAATATAGACTAATACAACAGATGTATAGAATTCAATATGTACAATACAATATATAGATTATATCATAGTATAATACGATGAACTCCGTTGTAACATCACATGATATATTTAGATAACATACAATGCAACATATAGATGCATATAGTAGATTACAATATAACACAATTAATACTGTATTTAACTTAGTATATGACATGTATATACCAATCTTGTTGTTGTTGGCGCTACCAGGCTTGGAGCCAGTACCAGGCCTCTCAGGCGGAAGAGCTCCAAGCACTCACAGAGACGGCTGGGAGGCCCAGATCGAAGGGGTCCTGAATTTTTTGTTGGGTCAAATGGTAAACATGGTTAAACCACGTTTTTTTTTCTCCACCAGATTTTTAGAGAATTCTCCAATCTTGAGGTCTTAAACTTAAACTTCTCCACTGATTTCCATTTTGTTTGGGGGTTTCTCGCAAGTTTGCCAGCTAACGTTTCCAAGTTTAGGGAGTCAAACCACATTTTGTTCAATTTTTTAGGCTACAAAAAACTACACATAATTTTGGTGTTGAAAGAATGATTTACTTTCCTCGGCCTTCCAAGACCGGAGATGTGCAGAAGCAACACTGGTCTCAGTATGGATGTGGAGGATTTCCCCTACCGTCGAGATTTTCTACAGAGCCATGCCAGCCATGTGATTGTTTACCACAAGTTAGTGGATTTAAGTAGATTCAAGCGGCCCCCTAAAACTCAAATGTCCAAAGTGGTGTTTCTAACACAGCCCATGGCTGATCCTCGGCGCCTGAGGTGGATTTCCTAAGCAAAGACCAGGTGCGCGACACCATCCGGGATGCCACTTCCACAGCGCTGCTATCAACACGAGCCAGGACGCTGTTGGGATCTGTTGGGTTAGTAACGCTTCGGAAAGTCACAATCTACTGCCAAACTGAAAGCCACTTAAAACAACCAGGTGTGGGCCATCCGCGGTTCTGAGTTTTCAGGACCTCTGTAGATGGCCTTTCGCCAGTGCTGGACTGAGACCATTGGTCGGGTCTTAGGATTTGGAGCATCAGCGGCTCACCTTCTTTGATGGGAATGGATTGATGTAACGGTAACGTATGTCTTCCACGGTCAATGCCACGAGGTTCCCCCCCTGCGAAGCTGAACATTGTCAGTTCACCAAAATGATACGGGCTGGGTTGCACCTGTTTTATCACGTACTTGGCCCTTTCTGGCAAGATGCAGGCTTCAGGCTGAAGGAATTCAGCTATTTCTTTCCTGGCAGAGTCCAACAGCCATGACCGATTTAACTTGAAGCCACCCGACACTTTTCCAGGATGGGTTGGATCAGCCCCTCATGGCGTGCGGTGACCGAAGGTTCCAGCTGCCCTCAGCTTCATGCAGGTCTCTGAATCACAGGAGCCTGGCTCAGCTGCATGACGTCTCCATAGCCTTAGCTGTTTTTGGGGCTTGGGATGAACCCTAAATTGCCAGCATCGCCAGCTGCCCCAATGAACTTCAAAAAATCAGATATGATCCAGGACTAAAGATTAGTAAGGGGACTTCCCTAGGTTTCCCATGGTTTCCCTATAAAATGATCCCTATAAATCCCAAAGATTCGAGGGTGCGATTCCTCGCTGCCTTGCGCTCCCACCTCTTGGCACTGCACAGGCCATCGGTGACTCCTTGGAGCAAGCCTTGCGCCGCCTGGATGCAGCCGGTCATTTTTGGATCACCCAATGACAGTGGGATTGCGGAGCGGATATATACCCTCTGGTAATTTGTTACATAGCTATTGAAAATGGAGAATTTATAGTGGATTTACCCATTGAAAATGGTGATTTTCCATAGTTATGTTAGTTTACCAGAGGGTAGTGAACACAATGATCATGGAAGCCATGGCGGCACCAAGGTGGACAAGGTGGTCGCGGCATGGAGGATGTGCTCCGACACATCGATGCCCCTTGGCAGAGTTGACCGCCAAACATGGAGAGTCAACCTCAATGGATTGGTTGATTTTACCATGAAATATAGGGCTTTCCTGTAGATTTTCCCTTATACCAATCCAATGACAACCATATCAAACATGATAAACATCCTTAATTTGACAGAAAAAAACATCCATAGAACTAGCTGAATTGTGCTTAGCACCTCCAAAAAGTCATTTTTATCGGAATAAACATCTGGAACCCTATGCTTTTCTGTTTTATGTTCAGGTTGAACATCACCTTTTGAAGGTATATAGATAAGTTATGATAAGTTGTGGCTAATGCCTCTGCAAAGAACAGGTCTATTAGAGTCTAGAGAAAATACAAGCTCTTGCCCGCTTTTTTGTCTTCCAAGAATATTTGTTGCCTTGACAATTGCTTCAAAAGATCATGTTTTCACCACAAGAATATATATATATATATAGATATGATATATATATATACACATATGTATATCATTTCAGTTGTTTTTGCGAATCACCCTTTTCCTGAAGACAGGCAAGGCCTCTGTCTTTCCTTCTCTCCTAAAAAGTTCAGAGAACGTGGCCATTATCGATTTTTCGGCTCCCAAAACACCTCTCTATTTTGATGTCGATTTGCCAGCACCTGCGCCATGCTCATTGGGTCACTAGGACCTCCATGACGTGCTGGACCAGGAGCAAGCCTCCGATGAGGAGATCCTGATTTTGAGCACCAAAATGATCAAAATGAATCCAGAAGACGAGTTGGGCTTTAATATACCGTAGCTTCAGTACAATGGCCTTGTCATTTCCAGCCAGGACCGCCAGAAGTATTGCGAGACCAAGCTTCATCAGGCCTGGTGGACTTAGATAGGGGGGTCGCTGAATCCCAAGAATAAACTACAAATTTGGGATGGTTTAGTATTGTGGATCTCCCATTCTTGAACCAAGCTGACTGCCATGGTTCAGCTCGCTGGAGGCTACAGCTGCTAAGAGCAACAAGCAGCGAGAGGCTGAGGTGCGGCAGTGAACCCCCCTTTTGAAGGCCCTATTGGTTGATTCTTGGTGATTGAACCACCCAAGATATTGGAGATTATCACAATCCATTCTGACCAGGATACTGAAATGACAGGATGACAGGATTTTGAAAATTGTCCGGCTGATGATGGAAACCAACTGGACACCAGTGGCCTGAGCACAAAGAGAACTACCCATCGCTCAGCGGCGCGAGGATGCCAAAAGCATCATTGCCACTTACCAGGCCTTGGTTGCACACTCCGCATTTGTCACACAAGACTTTGGGTGACATCAAAACCAACCAGTCAAGCACTCTGAAGGGGTAGTTTGGGTAGTTCACAGTTTGCTCCATGGCCTTCATGGTTCCAAACCTAGTCTTTTGATGTCTTTTGAGTCCATGTTGGTGCCTCTTCTCCCCCCGCCACGTCATGGCCCCGTGGGGCAACATCGGTTGCGCCCACACAGAACGAGCTGGACACCGTGGTGGGGCAGATTGGTAGCCTGAAGGCTCGAATGGAGGAGCTGATGCGCGAAGAAATCTGTAGGAGGCTTTCCATGACCA